TGTTTATTTTAAATAGAAAATATTATTATACTAACCATATCCACTACTTTTGCCATTTTCTGAAGCAAAATAAATTCCTTTACCAACTCGACCACCTGAATGAGGCATGATACGAAGACCAGATTTTAGTATAGCAACAACAACAGCAACATTAGTACCATGCCAAAGTAATTTTCGATTTCCAATTTTATCATGTGATGCAAAAAGTTCACCCTAGGAAAAAAATCAACTTGTTTTTTTTTGTTTTCTTTTGTTCTTTTGACTTACTTCTCCTTCACGACCAACACGCCATACATCAATGATTTTACATTTGCGATATCCTTGTGTATTGTCTGTATATTTTTGAATAACCTTAATAAAATGAAAATTTTTTTTTAAATAAAATTTACGAAAATGAAATAAATAATTACTTTAAATTCTTCACTATTAACATCAACATGTTCAAGTGAACATTTTAATAAACCATAATTAACATCATAAGGATGTGGTTTAGCCTGTTCAGCTTTTTTCTTCGATTTTTCTTCATCACCTTTATCTTTTTGAATACTTTGAGCTAATTCAATATCAGCTAAAACCTATTAAATAATATTTAAAAATTTTCTTAATTTCATTTTTAAATCTGATTTTAGGACATACTGCAAGCATATCATATTTTTTTTGTAAAGCTTCACGATTATCAATTGGTATAGGTCTTGCGCGTCCAAAATCATGAGGGACAACTGTATAAAATTTTGATGATATATCAGCATATGAACCTTTTTTTTTATTTTCCATAACAGCTTCAAGTTCTTCTAAGATTTCGAAACCTTTGGCTACTTGACTTTTACTTAATTTTCCTAATGGCATTTTTTTAACATCAATATCATATTTTTTTAATGCTTCTTTAAACATATCGGTATCAAAAATAAGTCGAATTAATGATTGTGTTGCTGAATCTAGTTTACTTGCTGCGTAAACTGTACCATCTTTATCTTCAACTGTTTCTGATTTTTCTGTAGATGATTTTTCTTGTTCATTTTCATCTTCTTCATCACCATCACCAGCCACATCAATTAAATCATATTTACCAGCAACTTTTTTAAATTGATCACGTTTATCCCCTTAAATAAAATATTAATATTTAATAAGTTTTAAATTACACAAAGCATTTTTCAACTTACAATCATTTTTAGTTTTATCTTTGAATTTACTTTTAAATTGTTTAATAGCTGCATCACTTGATGAAAATGGGCCCAACATTTGATTTTGACCAGATTCACCCTAATGTTATAATTTTAATCTTTGTTAAGCAAAATTTTAAAATAATATTTTTGTTAAACTTACCACACGACCCCATCGAGTATATGTATAAAATTTGCCACCGTATTTCAACGCTTGAACTACATAATATTTATTATTATTTGCACCAATATTTGTTTGGTTAAGCATAGCATCATAATCATCGATAACCTTAATAACATATGAATAGATCATTAAAAAAATGAAAGAATTAAAAAGGAATTTACTTCATAACTAGTCCAGTTAGGTATATTTTTATCTGGTGTATGTTTTTTTGGTTTTTTATTTGCATCAGCAGCACGTAGTTGTTTTATTATATCAGCTTTTGATGAAGTAGGAGCTTCTTCCTAAAAATAAAATAGGAATATCAAATCTTAATTTAAAGATAAAACTAACTTCGGCTTTTGTTTGTTCTTCCTCATTAACTCCATCGGCTTCAGTTGTTTCTTCTTCTTCTTCTACTTCTTCTTCTTCAACTTGTTTTTTTGCTCGTTTAGATGCAGGAGCTAGAAGTTAATCGTATATAAATATATATATTATCGAACAACAATAGAACTAAATCAACGAACCACTTTTAGCAGCAGATGCTTTACGTTTAGCTGAAGTAGCTGCTGTCTTTGCTTTTGCAGCACGTCTTTTTGGTGGCATTGCTTAGAGAAAATGTTTTTACTTTTCTAAAATAAGAAATAATGGATAGAGAGAATAGATTTTTAACCAAGTATATATAGTTGTTCAGTGAATAGGAAACCACAAAGGGAGGCAAACATCAAAATAGAAGTGAAATTTCAGTGCGTTTGTGCAATATCAGTCAATACTTTTTCATTGGTTCCAATTTTTAAACTAATGAATCAAAGTAAAGTAAAAAGAGGTCGTTCAATTACAACATATCGACATGTTATAGAAGAATTTGAATGTATAAAAAACATATTTTCTTATTTTATTGAATAAACATGTATGAGTAAAGAAAATAACATTCACACACTATAATCATTGGAGAATATATTTATCACTACTTTTCATAATAGTGATGTTTTCTTATTGATAAACGAGCAACATAAACAAATGATTCTAGTGTACCTTCACCAATTTTTGTTGAACATTCCATATAAGTATCAGCATGAATATTTAATGCTACTTTCGCTTAACTTTACATGCCATTGATTTTGTATTTCTTTTTTTTTTCAATTTCAAAATTAGTTCAGAATTTGTTTTACAAGTTATTAATATTACAGGATATCAACCACTACAATGTTATGTTTTTGGTATTCAGTTTTAAATAAGATTTGTGATCGATTCTAGATTAATCAGAGTGAAACATATCAATACAAGATTGACATTAACATACAAAAGTGAACGTAGATAATCGAAATCTGAAAATATTTTATAGAAAATATAAGAGTGACATATATTCAAATACTATGTAAAATGTTGAATATTCCTCTCAAAAAAAGAAATTATTCTTCATTTATTTACAATTCGCCAGTCTAATTTGCGCTTCCTTTTATAATAAATTTTGCCAATAGAAAGAGTTGAATTTAGCATAAAATGATTATCTAAAAATAATATCAGAAGGCATAACTTACCAGACCAACAGTCACTACTTTTTGACTATTTTCATTAGCTCTAACAACATTAATGACCATTTAAAAGTATGTTTTTAAACATGTTCAAACAATCAATGAAACTCATCAAGTAGAAATTTTTAGTTTCAGCCTTTACATTTTCAAGCATGTACTACTTATTGATGTTTAGTATATTTGACTAGATTATAGAAAATTTTCAAAGATAAAGAAGCAATGACTCATGTACGAACGCTAAAATCATGATTTTCGTGTCACAATAAAAAAAACAAATAGAAATATTCTAAACAACTGATTTCGGTGTCACGTTGCAGCTCAAACAAAATTGTCATGCTCTGCCTAATTATTTACACTGAGTAATAATATAATACTATTGATGAAAATACTTATCTTAACTATGAATTCTTGTTTTTTAGGATATTCATAAATAATTCATCTGTTCAATTTAGATCTATTCATTCAAAAATGACACCTATGAAAAGAATTTTTCTGGTAACTTTATCGGTAAGTTCTTGATTGTATTATAAGTTAATATAGTTGGTTAAATTGTAAATAATAAATGACTGTTAACTTTTAAGGTTTGATTACATATGATATTTTTATGAATACTGAGTTTAAATCGTTGCTAACGGATCTTAACGAAAAAAAAAACACATATCTAATAAAGAGATTCACAAATCTCTCATCTTCTACACATATAGTAAACTTATTGACATAATATAATGGTTCACATATGTAATGACTTAAACTTGTATTTTGCAAAATGTCTCATACCATTGACCAAGGATATTCAAGTAAAGAAAAAAGAGAAGGAGCCAAACATTGATGCATGCCCAGACACTTACTGGGAATAGTTTTTTTTTTTTTTTTATATAACTTTTGGCGAAATTTGAAACTGAGTTTGTTTTGAAGAGCATTTTTATATAGGAAAATTTGTCAATGTGGTTCCATAAGAAATCAAAGTGTGAAAAACACAAACTTTGGCAGTCATCAATTTATGATATATTGTCATAGGAGTTAAAATAATTAATAATTTTATAGCTGATACGCGCGCTCTAAAATTTTATCATATCGAAAATGTCTTCATTTAAAATTATTATGCTATCAATTTATTAAATTCATATGACGTACTTTATATTATTCTATACATCTTGAATAAATAACTTCATCCCTCCTAATAATAATACGCACGATACAGACTATAGGTTGCGGCAAACATAATTTTATTCTTTGTTGTGTTCCTTCAATTATTATATTATACTGCTATTCACATTGATTTAATCGTTCGACAAACATCCGAATATACCATCCTGACTCTCGATGCTCTTTCACATATAATTTTAAAGCTTGTTTAAATTTACAATTCAGTTAGTTCATACTTTGTTATGTCCACCGTATTGCAATTATGATAGATCAATAATGCCACCGTCTCATTGATTAATATCTACAATAAGACCTCTTCCCTACATTCAAATATCAAAACTGGCAATTTAAGAATCTACCACTTCCGGCTGCTAAGGCCTGAACGTTAGGGGAGTCGCAAATATCTTGATTTAAACTCATACTCACTATTTTCTTTGAAAATATATGTGAGTTTCACAAAATGAACTGCATGAATTCAATTGAATATGATTATAGTGTGGAAATAATTGAAGATTATACTACATGAGCATATAGTTATTGTCTCGAGCAGTAATGTAAACATCGCTACATCATGGAGTGCCATTGGTATTGAACTTCAGTTTTTTTCTTTTACTATTTTTTACTCATAAAAATCGAATGTATTTGAAAAAAACAAAGAACTTTGGCATAGATAATACTTTTGTTTGTTGTCTTATGTATATTCATTTCTATTTATGATAAATTTGTTTAATTGAAAAGAAGGGAGTATATTTGAATAAAACAGACTCTTCCTAGAAAGTAGGTTGTTTTTATACTGGATGTCCGTTGGGACGACGAGAAAACTGGACAGAGAATTTTAAAAAATGCGATTTTCACGTGGATGACCTTTATGGTTAGCTCCTCTTATTTACTTCACCTAATCTAATGAAACTGAGAGTTGAAGAAAAGCACAATCGTAGTAAAATGATTGTTAGAAAAAACTTTATTTGTGAAACACTTATAAACAAAATTTACATATTGTCAAAATAGAAAACATTTTCGACTGGTTTCAAGACAAGATTGTTTGGCGAGTGATAAACGAGTAGCATGAATGAATAAATCATTTATACCTTCACGAGTTTTTGCTGAACATTCCATATAAGCATCAGCTTCAATTTGTGCAGCCAGTTGTTGTCCATCTTCAGTTGATATCAGTGTTTTATTCTGTTGCTTATAATTTTCATTAGTTTGTGTAACCTTTCTCAAGTCAATTTTACAAGCTACTAATATGACAGGAGATGAATCACAATAATGACGTACTTCTGGATTCCATTGTTGTATAACATTCATAGTTGATGTTGGACAGTCAATACTAAAACATATTAATACCACATTGGTATCAGGATATGCAAGTGGACGAAGACGAGCAAAATTGTCTTGACTGGGAGTATCGAATAGAGACATAATAATCTGTAAATTAATTTAAAAAAAAAACAATATTCTTTGGTTAACAAATCAAAATATCTAAACTGATATTTTAACATATGTAGTATTTTACTCACAGTTTTTCCTTCTAGTTCAATTTCGGTAGTATAAGTCTCAAAAATAGTTGTTTGATGTGATGAAACAAAATTATCATCTTTAAATGCATACAACAGGCATGTTTTACCAGTCATACCATTACCAACAACAACTAATTTTCGATTCTTTTGAATCTTTCGTTTTTCATTTTTCATTGTCGAAAGATCTTAAATAGAAAATTTTTTCATAATATTTATTAATTTTCACAATTGATTGCATAGAATTATAGAACATACGTATTTCAAGAATTGATTTCGTGCATTAATAAAAATCAAGATAAAGTATGTTACATTTATAGTGAATAAAAAATGCAACGAAACCCATTACTATGGAAAGAATGCACAATATAAACATTTAACACCTACGATAATGAGATTATGTGGACTTTTTCTTTCAAAACTAAATGATAGTCATGAATTTTATTCGTAAAAAAAAACACTTCAATATTATACTGTTTTTAAGATTTTCTTGCACTTTTTTTTTCTTCACTTCTTTCATATATTGCTGCTTCAATTTACACTGTCCCACATAAAAATAAACATGAGTCATATAAATAAAGTATTGAAATAATAATGTTCATGTCAACAGAAAAATAAAAGAACTGAAATTTATTTGAATATGAGGTTATTATACATTTCGAAGTAAAAAGATATAAACTTTTTCTGTGCTTCAGATTGGTAAAGAAAAGATAATAATTCTTTGAAAACAAAATTATCTGTTCTAATGATTTACCTACGATTTAAGAGAGGGTCCATGACAGCACCAAGGAATCGAAGCACTCGTCAAAATTTAAATTTTTGATTTTTTATGTGCATTCGAAAGGACAATGTCTGAAACTAATAACCCTAAATTTTTAGCACTATCTACAGAGTATCAACAAAAACAATGGTAAATCATCTCATTTATGTCTGATAGTATTCACTACTAGAAAGAAGAGAATTTTTTCATGTTATATACCAAATGATAGAGTATGGATACATGAAAAAAATGAGCTATATGAAATATTGTATATCATTCCTTTTTTTTTATTATGCTCATGGATGTAACACTCGGAAGTGCTTACATAAAGAGAAAAAGAAATATAGATGTATAAGCGAGAAGCTGCATCATTAAAGCAAAGCATTACAATTTATGCCATCAATATATTATGCTGAGTAACAATTTTTGCTTGTAGGGATATGTGTAGAGCGTAATAAATGAAAAAACGAATAAACAAAGTGTGAAGAGAAGAGAGAGAAGTACTGATGATAAGCGGCAGCGAAGATATGTGAGTAGAGCGAGCAACTAGAAAAAAGAAGAAGAACAAACTAAAAGAAATGAACGAGAGAGAAAACACAAAGTAAAGAAAGAGAGAACAGAAACGAAAGTAAACGACTAAAAGGAAAAAGAAAAAAAAAAGAAAATTGAGTAAAGCTTTACATTTATGCATCTTTCTGTGATATTAATTCGCATCAACAAAGGACAACCACTTTAAAAGAAACGATTCGTGTCGATCTTTCAATTGTCACACACGCCGTGTGCGAAAAAAACGACCAAGGTGATTATTTTTTCTTTTACAAAAATTATCCCAAGCAAAGATATCTTCATAGAAGAATGAAGATCCCAGATCAGTTATGAACATGGTTTTTAATCTACGTTGAATATATTTTTTAACGTAAAGTTGTAAGGGCTGTTCAGAAGTAACTTTAAACAGATTATGCGCAGAAATGAAGGGACAGCGATGCACCAACCGAAGTCCTACACGGAGTTTTTGTTGCAATATATGTTATAGAGATTCTGGGAGGAGAGGGAAAAACGAGAATAACCACGCAAAATGCGGAAAAGTGTAAGCGAAGAAACATTGACGAAGAGCTTTACATGAAATTTTGCGACCGGACTTCATCCATTTCAGTTTTCCTAGCGATCTCTGAATATTTCCTATGTTTTTATCGACTTTTGGTTTTAACGAAAGTTTATCCGTCCAAGTAAACCCTAGGTATTTGAATTTTTTGACTAATTCAATTTTGTTTCCGTCTATTGTTACGTTTACTATCGGTCTTTTAACTTGTGTATGAAATAATTGTGCTACAGTTTTTGAAACATTTAACGGCTGTTTCCACTTTTCTGAGTACATAAAAACCTGATTACAAACTCGTGTACCTTCTTTTTCTAAGTATTCAATCATCGAACGTAATGTTTTCATTATGGGAGGTTTGATTAATACACACAGATCATCTGCAAATAGATGACATGAATGAGCTCCTAGATAATTTGTCAGATCTGAGTGAAACACTATAAATAAATACGGAGTAAGACTACTACCCTGCAGAAGTCCTATATTTATATTAAATATTTTCGAAGTTATTTCACCATATTCTACGTAAGCTTTTCTATCTTTTAACCAACTACTAGTCATTTTCAATAAGTTGAGAGGCATGCCCATACTTTCTAGTTTACAAAGGAGACCGGCATGCCATACACAATCATAAGCCTTCTGATAATCGACATATAGGGCGAGTGTCAGAATATTAGCTGCCATGTTATTTTTCACTTCCTGATATATCGATAGTACTCGCGTTGGTAGAAGACATTTTGGGCGGAACCCAGATTGTTCTGAAGGTACTAAACGATTTGTTTCAGCCCAATGTCTAATTCTTAGTAAGAGCATTTTTTCGAACAGCTTTGAATGTGTAGCTAGCAAAGAAATTGAACGAGTTTGCTCACACTTTGGGATACCTGATTTCAACTTATTCAGAGTAATGATTTTTGCAATTTTCCAGTCATCTGGGTAACGACACTCGTTTAACCATGTATTGAAGCAGTTAGATAAGCACTCGATGTAGCTTGGAGGAAGTTTTTTAATTATAAAGTTTGACACGGAGTCAAAACCTGCTGATTTCTTAGACTTTAAGGTTTTAATTATACGAGTAATTTCAGCAGTACTAGTTTTTTCTACGTTATCGTTCGACACTAATAATTTATTTAACAACTCTTTATACTGCCTATCTATCTGACCTTCATGTTCATTAGACCAATGCAATGCAGGTACTTTGAACTGTTCACTGTAGTATTGGAATAATTCGTTTGTGATTCCTTCTTGTGTTGATATTATTTTAGTGCCATCAGATAGTTTATAGAAAGGCAGCGAATGCGATTTGTAAATGCGAGATAAGTGTGTCCAAAACGCTTTATCTGATTTTTCGTACGACGTTTGAATGTTAGATAAAAAATTTTGCCATTGAGCATTTTTATGTTTTGCTATTTCAACTTTTGATTCTCTCGTCATCGTGCGTAAAAGCACCCTAGTTTCCTCACTAAAAACTCCTTTATGTCTTAAATGATAATATCTATTTCTCACTTTTTGTATTTCTTTTAATTTTTCGATGATATATGTCGGTAATGATGGTTTATATTTATCTCTCTCTTTCCAATGCGTCACTCTAGTTTTGACAGCCGCGATGAAACGAATATATTGTTTGTACCACTCATCGCACTATTTTTCTTTTGTTCTTCCATCCAGAATATTTGTAATAGCGCTAGTACTGCTTCAAATGCCTTCCAATTTGTATGAGGAAAAGAACTGTTTGTATCGAAAAAAATGTTCTCGCATGATAGCAAAATCGACCAATGATCACTAGTGCCAAAACATAATGTTTCACTTGAAATAGTACTCATATTAGAGAACGACAAATCTATATTACGTAGAGAGCGCTTAGACGTGTTGGTCGTTGATGTAATATAATTGAGATTGTTTTCATTAATCCATTCTCTCACGTGCGCACCTCTCCTATCAGTTAAAGGACTATTCCATTCCTTCACTGATGCATTAAAGTCACCTGATAGTATGATACCTTCTATTACATAAGGCTGAATTTCATCTAGATCACGCTGCTGACTAGTGGGCCAGTAAATACCAATTATACGTACTGGTTCTGATAGACCTGTTATGTCGATAACAACCGTGTTCGGAATGTTAACCTCGATGCACATTGCTTTCAGATGCTTCCCTACTGCTATGCACACTCCTCCATTCTTGTTAGTACCCTTTTGATAGAACGTGTTAAAATGTGGTAATCGACATGTGTTCCATAACTCTCCTACTTCTGTAAATATACAAATAGAAGCTTGAACTTTATACACTAAATCAATAGCTTCAATTGCACGAGTACCCCATCCTTCGACATTATAGCATAGAATCTTTATATATTCTTTTTGGTTTTGTAAAGAAGCGATTCCAACATTTTCCCACTGTTCTAAGACTATATTCAAGGTTCTACCTGCGTATCATTCATCTAACAGAGATACTACTAATTTCTGATCTTTAGATGGAAAATTCCAAGTTTTCAACCGGTGCATAGCTTCATCTCTAGGATTAAATAAATAATTCTCTGAAGCTGGAAAGAAAACTTTATCGTGTACATTAGTATTTAATGTTCTACTTAGCATTATGTGATGATTTATATACTGACGAAGACTGTTGGTCCGTTTGAACGATATTATTATTATGCGAAGTTAGAATCAATTGAACCTGGTGATTTAATTGGAAGCCATTTATTAATCTTGAGGATACGAGCTGAAAGCGATTGTAGTATTCTTTTGCCTTAGGTACCAACGATAATCTTTTAATTTTGCCAGTAGTTAACGATGCTGGTATAAAATATTGAATAAAATCTTTCATAATATTGATGGCATCTGCTAAGACTGCTTGATGTAGCTGAGTGTCGAGAGTATCGGTTTTCATGCTTGATGATAGTAGATCAACTTTATTTTCTAGTCGTTTGTTACTATCGATAAGCTTTGTCAGATTATCATTGATAGATTCAATTGTTTTATCTGTATGTGATGCGCGTAAAATATTCGACTCGACAGTTGTACGTGGTTGAGCAATATTCCATTTTTTATTAGAATAATTATCACTTGCAGCTAATGGTGAAAAATCTTGATCATGAAGTTCGAATGTAGGCGATTTTTCTTGCGGTGAGAATCACTGTAATAATCCTTTTTGTATCGTATCTTCGACATCTTCTTTTAATTGGTCTTTATATTCTTTTAAAACTTGACATTCACTATCTAATGAATAATGATTTCCATCACATTGAGCACATTTTGATTCATTTTTACACATATGCGGAGTATCCACACCCAAATTCTCAAGACAAATTCGACATTTGTTTTC